ACAGATCGCCAATAAATGCATTAAAAGTGTTTGGCATCATTGGCCGTTAAAGAAACGCAAATTAAAACAAAACTGAAAGTTCACCTTACTCCAGAAAGAATAGTCATCATCAAGAAATCAAATAAGAACAAATGTTGGCCAGGCAGCAGGGGAAAAGAAACTTAACACATTGTTGATGGAAATGTAAACTAGTACAATCTCTACAGAAATCTGGACTAAGCGCCTGCTTAGGCAAGTGCAAGAACCAGGGTTCAATCCCCACCACCATGTGCCACACTGGCCTCACCCCCAAATGCGCTGAGCTGGCCACCAAGACCAGACATGGTGGTGCACATCTATAATCCCAGTGCTGGGGAGGTTGAAAACAGGAGGATCACTACAAGTCCAAGTTGTGTAGTGAGACCTCTACCAAATACATTTAAAAAATAATAGTAAATCACTACGGAAATCAGTATGGAGATTTCTCAAAAATGAAAAACAGGGGCTGGGGAGATAGATTAGTGGTGGGTGCCTGCCAGGCAAGTGCAAAGACCTGGGTTTCAATTCCTGGTATCACACGCCATGTGGGCCCTGGAACCCCAAGTGAGCGGTGCCAGCCACAGAGCCTGGGCATGGTGGTGCATGCCTGCAATCTCAATCCTGGGAAGACTGAGACAGGAGGATCACTACAAGTCCAAGTTGCATAGCAAGAGCCTGTACCAAATAAATAAATAAATAAAAACTAAAAACAGACATTTCATAGTATCTACCTATTCCATCTGTAGATATCCTCCCCTAAGAGTGAAAGTCAACATATTACAGTAATACATCTATACCTATGTTTATAATGATAAAATTCACAGTAACTAAATCTTGAAAATGGCTTACATATCCATGAATAGATGAACAGATAAATACAATGTGGTATTTACACTCAATGAAGTACTACTCTTCCATAAAGAGAGATAAACTTAAAAGTAGTTGTAGGCAAATGGATGCAGCTTGAGGACATAACCTTAAGTAAAATACATTTGCCACACAAGCTTAAATATCACATAGTTTCTCTTATATGAGAAGCCCAAAATATGCAGAGCAAAATAAAAGATAGTTCATAGGAAGTAGTGAGATCTTTTTAAAATGGGAAGAGGAACAAGAGATGGAGGGAAGAGGGAGGTAAGGAAGAGAAAGAATTTTAAAAAGAGAATTAAAGAAAAATAGAAATAGAGCTTTTGCAAATGGGTAGGGAAACAAATGTTGGAGGGAACAGAGAGAGATGGTACAGTAAGGAGACAAACATGAATTAAGGTGTGTTGTGCACATGGACAGATTCCGCACAATAAATGTAATCATCATGTGCTGCAAACATGTACTAATTTTAAAAGAAAAATAATTTTTCTACCAATAGAAGCCCAGATAGGTAGGGTTCACTTACTGGAAACCCTCTGGCTGTCTTCATGAGCACTTCCCGATATATTCCAGGGTATGAAGGTGTCAGTTTGGGCTCCGGGAAAAGAAAATCTCGTGTGTTGTCTTCATAATAGGCTAACTCTTCCCATGCTAGAAAGAATGGACAAACAGCCATGTATATGTACACTCCCAAGTTCAACAAAATAATTTAGATGGACAGATGGCAGCAGAGGTGGCACTAGGGTAAAAACAGACACTGCGATCCAAGTACTTGTTAATTAAGAGAAAAACAACTTCTACTTTTTGTCTTGCGAATATTTCTCTTGAGACAGTCTTGCTACACAGTCCAGGTTGGCCTTGAGTTCACTATGCAATCCAGCCTGGCCTTGAATTCACAGCAATCCTCTTGCCTCAGCCTCTGGAGTAATGGGATTTCAGGCATGTGCTATCACACTGCCCAGCAATGTTGTGGATAATTTTTAACAGTCTTTTCAAGTCATAAAGAGTGAAAAAAAAAAAAGCTTCACAAAACAAAAAGACAAGAAAATCTATGTTTTTGTTTATTGATCTACTCATTCTTTCCTTCAACAATTATTTACCAAGAATAAACCATGCACCAGGCCTTGGGGACAGAATAGAATCCAGGTTGGTATAAAGGCTATGGTGTAAATTGGGGTTGAGTGTGTCTATGGTATGGGAAGTCAACGGCCCGGAGAACAGCTAGACCTACACTTCTCAGCATATTGTGGACATTATGGACATCTGTAAGATTATTTCATGGGTAGAGGCTAGACGTACTAGAGCGCCCTGAAGAATTACAGCTGGGGCAGCCCTTCCCATCACCACCGCCACTGCCACTGCTACCCAGGTGCATCACATCAGAAGGCTCAGAGCATGGCTCCTCTCTCTTGCTGCTGCCACAAATGAAGCAAACCACTCAGGAAGGGCCAGAGATGAGAGGGAATGCTAGTGCCACAGTGAGATCCTAACCAAGGTGCACAGGATGCGCAGGCAGGACGAGTGGCATGAAAAGTCTGAAGCTACAACAATAATGCAAGCCAACACGTGGTGAGTGAGGTGAACTGGCCTTGTGCTTGGGGACAAAGACATGTGGAATAGAATGGGTGGGGCCACCCCAGTTTTCCCTCTCCTTTTGGTTTTTCTTTTCTTTTTTCTTATCTTTTTTTTTTTTTCTTCTTTCTAAACATCTGGGGAAAACTCAGCCACAGAAAAATAATCCCATCCCCCAAACCCAGAGACCAGTTTGGATAATCCCTTGATTACTCCCTCATTTTTTCTCTTCTGCCCTCTTCTCTAGTTTCCCAAAGTGTGTGTGATCATCCTTCATCCTCCAGCCTTGCTTCTACTTTCTTTGTAGTTATTTTTGTTCTATCTACTATCCTTCTGGAATCTCCCCACCACAAGACAAAACCAGTTTACCAAAGGGAAACACTTTGACTATAAGCTCCCAATTTGTGATCAGTTCTATTATATAATAGTAGATTTTGCTCCTATGGTTTAAGATACAAAATTAATAGCTACCACAGTTTTTCGGTTTCTCAACTGTGCTTGATACTATTGTTATTGCTACTTATACTGCTTTAACTAGGATGTCATATCTATTGTAATCAGTTGTCCCTTTTGTAACAACACTGAAAAACTCTGGGTAATAACCTTGCTACAACCCAGCACCAAAGAACTGGGAACTGAGCTAAACAAACACCAACACTATACTCTTTAATTAACTGGGAAAGTAGGGTCTTGGAACAGACACAAGCCAAGAACATCCTAAACATAAAAGACATCCTTGAGGAACAGACTTTTCCTAGAGAGGTATGATACTACCTACTATAAGAACTTACCAGATTCCATACAGAAAACAAAATAAAAGCTTTTGAAATAGAAAAATGACAAGATACAGGAGGAAAACACAATCTCAGACCTCCCAGAGTAGATCAAGAAACAAAATCTAACAATATACTGTATATTAAAAAACACATTTAACTGAAAGTGAAAGAATGGAAAACAACACTCCATGCTCCAGGAACCCCCAAAAAGGAGTCATATCTATGCTGTTTACAGACAATGTGAACTTCAAACCAAGAATGATCAAAAGTGATAAAGAAGTTCACGACACACATGTTAAGGGAAAATTTCAAGAGGAAGAGATAACAATCATAAATACATATGCACCAAATACTGGAGCACCCAACTATATAAGATAAATATTAATAGACATGAAAAATCAAATGAGCAATAACGTCATTGTAATAGGGGACTTTACTACCCCATTATCCCAAATAGATAGATAAGCTAGACAAAATAATCACCAAAGAAATATCAGAACTCAACCAAACTTGCAAAGAAATGGACTTTATAGACCTTTACAAAGTGTCACCCAATGTCAAAATACATTCTTTTCTGCTACATATGAGACACTCTCTAAAATAAACCATATACGAGCCCACAAACTATGCTCAAGTAAATGCAAAAGAACTGAAATTATCCCATTCATATTATGTGATCACAGTGCAATGAAATGGGAAATTGTTGACAATGGAAACTGCAAAAACTTCATAAACACATGGAAACTAAATAACACCCTCCTGAACAATCAACGGGTCACAGATGAAATGAAAGAAGAAATTAAATAATATCTACAATTAAATGCCAAGGCAGGTACAGAACTTGTGGGATGCAATGAAAGCAGTCCTAAGAAGAAAATGTATAGCAGTGAATTCTCATATTAGGAAAAGAGAACAAACATAAATAAACAACCTAATGCTGCACCTCAAGCTTCTAGGAAAAAAAAAAAAGAGCAAGTCAAGTCCAAAGCCCATTCAAGTGAGGAAATTAAAAAGAGCAGAGCGCAAATTAATACAACTGAGGACCCAGCAAGGTAGTCACGGAGGCCAGGGTGGCAAACTATCTGCTGAGGCAACTATGGGCCACTGGCGAGGGACAGGCTGGACTGATGACCAGTGGATGAGTGGCTGCTGCTTCTGTGTGCCCCGTGGCTGGGACTGGGCCATGTGGCAGACGTACCGGGAATGCTTGTGCTGGGCCAGGCCTCTGTTGGATATTTGTGTGAGATCACACAGCACTTAGAAACAGATGAGCAGGAGAACCCTAACCTCCTAACCCTTTACCACCAGATTCCTTCCACTCCTTGTTTAAAATCAACTCCATGTCAGTCTTCCCATCCAGAACAATCCCCCCTACTTTTCCAACCTACTGAGTTTCAGGCTGGTAGCAAAAGTGTAAGCCAGGAGGATAGATATATAGCTACATGCTCTTAATTCAAGGAATAGAGGGATTTGTTCTAATAGTGTTTGTAAATAGGATATCATATCTGCATCTTGTACAACAAACAACCACTAGGAAGGCAGTATGCAATGTGTTAATTATTGAAACTGTCCTACCAATTTGATTTGAAACTGTCTAATTGCTATTTATTTCTCGATAAAATTATGGGAGAAAAGGAAGTAGGTAGAAATCTTGAAGACATAGGTATAGGCAGAGAGTTCATGAACAAAACCCAAGCTGCATGGGAAATACTTGAAAGAATCAACAAATGAGAGCTCATCTTATTAAAATGCTTTTGCACATCAAAAGAAATCAACAGGGTGGAAAAACAATTCACAATTAGGAAAAAAATTATCCAATTGTCCCTCAGACAAAGGACTATTATTTAGAGTAGATAAAGAACTGAAAATAAATCAGCCTTTTCAAATTCAAAGAGCCAATCAGAAAATCGGCATCTGAGATGAATACACACTTCTCAGATGAAGAAATACAAATGGCAAAAAAATATATAAAAATGTTCAACATCATTGGTCATTCAAGAGATGCAAATAAAACAACTGAGATTCCAACTCTAGAAATGACTGCCATCAACAAATCAATCAGTAACAAATGCTGGAGAGGCTATGGAGAAAAAGGAACACTTCTCCACTGGTAACAGGAGTGCAGACTGGTGCAACCACTGTAGAAATCAGTGTGGAGATTCCTCAAAAAGCTAAGATCACAGAAGTACCATTTGACCCAGTTATTCCCCTTCAAGTATCTTCCCAGAAGAATTAAAAACATCATACATGCACCATTGTTTAGAGCAGCACAATCTTTAATAGCTACATCTTGGGAACAACTTCATCAACAAAGGAATGGATTAAAAAGATGTGATCTTTTCATACAATAGAGTACTACTCAGCAATAAAGCAGAATAAATTTGAGACTTTTATGGGTAAATGGACACAATTTTGAGACTATACTCATTAGTGAAATAAATCAGACTCACATGTGTAAACAAAATATTGTCTACCTGGTGTGAGAAATTGAAAGAGTAAATAAGGTTTAAAATGTACAGTAGAAGGGGCTGTGGAGATGGCTCTGTAGAATAAGTGCTTCCCTGGTAAGCACAAGGGCCTGAGTTCAATCCCCAGTTCTGCAAAAAATAAAATAAAATGTACAGTAGATACTATAAAATGGAAAGAAATTGTTAAAAAGGAAAAAGGAACTAGAATGTGTGAAAAGGGAAAGGAAAGAAGGGAAAAGAGAAAAAATGTGTATCAGTTATATGATTAGCATCTCTTAGTCCACAGAAAAGGAAAGTTTGCACTTATATTGATTGTATATTTTTTATTCCCATACCTTATACTCTAAGTAACAATTTGGAAGATAATAATATGCCATGCATTATTTATTGTTATTCTATCATCCTTTTATGAAATTTTGTTTTATCTTCTTCCCATAAAATTAAAAAAAAAAAAGAATTTAAGCCACTCTTGCATTTCAAACAATTTTCCCTGCCCTGCACAACTTTCTGACATCCTGCCCAATATTCCTTCAGGCTAAAAATCATGTGATCATTAGTGAAGCCAAGAACTTAAATCTATTGTACACATAAGTATAAAGCATATCTGCATGATTTAAAAATACACTGAATTTTCTGGGTGTGCAGGTACTGCACAAATCAAGGAATAATTTTACTATTTTTTATCTTTCCTAAGGTCTATTTGGAATTTTGAAATTATGCCACATCTCAATACCTCATTTATGCTCAACATTTACATACTGATATGCATATTGCATTATAAATGACTTTCTGGTTGAAAAAGTACTGATTTTTGCAGTGATATGTAGAAGTTGAT